TATGTCAAGGTAACAATTAATTAAGGTTAATTTAGTGAATATATTTTTTTTCTAGGAGTTCGTATTTTCTTAATGGACGTGTTAAAGATAAAGTGATCATTTATTGTGGACCGGAGGGAGTATAATTTAGGCTTGGGAATTAGCTATATAGTGAAGGGATTTTTTCCTTCCTATACCATATATGAAACTTTATTACCAAAAATGTGCATAATTTGTTAATTACCCGCCCAGTCCACACTTTAATTACAATTTATATACCAATCCATAATTAGGCAGATTCTGCCATTTAACACGCGCGAAAAAAAAAGGCACAAAATCTGCGTTTGATTCTTTCCACATTAAATTCGAAATTTGAAACGGAAAGAGATCTGATTGCTGCGTAATTCTCTCTTTCACTACAATTCAAAAACAACGCAGAGCTTCAGAAGCTTCAACAGCGCAATACAAATTGTAGAATTCAAAATTGTTCTTCATCGTCCTCAGTACTCAAATTGTCGAACCTATATCTGTTCTTCATCTTTTTTCTCTCAACTACACGAAATCATGTCAAAAATCCAAATAATGCTAAAATTGAATGCGAATTGGGATAACTATGGCAGATTTAGAGATTTTGAAGTTGATGCCATTGTGGTAGATGAGAATGCAGGTTTGTGTAGTTCGAAAATGCTTAGAATTTTAGTTTTATGATATTACCTACAAATTTACTACATATATCTACAATTTGACTACAAGTTCTTTATTTGGTGCAGGAAAAAAATATTTTAATATACAATGTCTGCAGATTGTAGATAAATTGTAGGCAAATTGTAGTTTACTTGTGGTTTGTAGTTAATTTGTAGATAAATTGTAGATAAAATGTAGATATATTGTAGATACTATATTTTTAATATTGTAATTTTTTTTTCTTTGTGTTTGTTCTGAAAATGTAGGTGAGGGCTTCAACAGATCATATACATACTGTGTTGGATGGTGTGAAGCGGTACATTGTGTGTCTAGAAAACAAGAAATGTAGTTGTGGCCAATTCCAACTTGAAGAACTTCCATGTGTAAATTGTTTCCAGATTGTAGTTATAATGTAGGTTAAATGTAGTTAATTTGTAGTTTTTGTAAAATTTTGTAGACAATTTGCAGATTAATTGTGGATAACACATTTCTACGATTGGAGTATTTATTTCTTATTTTTTGTTGTATAATTTATATTCAACTGACAGTTATATACAAATATTACATAGAACTTGGAGGTAAACATCTAAAAATTACCTACAGTTTAAGTACCTAATATAAGAATAACTACAGTGAATGTACAAATTACCTACAGTTTAAGTACCTAATATAAGAATAACTACAATTTACCTACAGTTACAGGGCAAATAGGAAACACATCATCCACAATCATGTCTATATTATATCTACATTTTAGACTACAATTAATCGTGGAATGTTCTACATAAACTACAAACTAACTACAATTACACTACAAACAGTAAATCTAGGTGAGGGCTTCAACAGATCGTATCCATTACACTAAATCTACAATTACACTACAATTACACTGCAATTACACTACAAAATACACGACAAACAGTAAATCTAGGTGAGGGCTTCAACAGTCAGTATTTCTAAGTCGTTTGGAGAAGTTGTCGGCAACTTTTCATATTAGTCTCTTTACCAATAAATTTCTCATTTTTGACTTTTCCAGAAGAGGAAATTTTGTTTGGTACCCAGAAACAATTGTTGCAGAGGAAATTGGCACGACATTCAAATATAATGAGATTTCGCTGGCTAATGCATCTCAAGGACATCTTTCGTTGATTGATCTTGCAATCGTGGATGAAGAACAAGAAAGAATGTAGGGTATGGGTAAAAGCGTGGGTGGGGGATGAGGGGTAAGGAGAGAGAAACGTGAGATATATGGATACCTTTAATTAAGAAGTAAAAACTGCCCATTAATTAGATATGGATACCTTTAGTTAAGGAGTAAAAACAACCCATTAATTAGACCATTAATTAAGCATGGTATAGGATTGGTAATTTGGTATACTAAGTATAATTTACTCAAACTTTAAACATGTAGGGTAAAAAGGTTTCCTATGTGGTATAGGAATGTAAAAAAATTATATGACCTGTTCCGATTTTTGTGCAGCCCAGAAACTTTGATACTTATCATGATGCAATTTCACGACTTTCAAATTCTAAACTCATTTACTATTCAAATTTTATGATTTAGTGTGATGTTATTTATATCAAACTAAACTTTCAATCATTTTAAGTTTAATATTTTCTTCTATTACTAATAGTGGTATATCAAATTAAACTTTCAATCATTTAATGTTACTTAATGCATCTCTTTTATGCTATAATATAATATGATATGCATGTGAACATATCTTTCCTATTGAACCAAAAGAAGGAACAAAGGAAGTGAAGAAGAATTTTTAGGTAAGTTTGGAACAATAAAAAAATAGATAATAATCAATGTGGGAAATGACAGGAGTTACCCTTAAGAGAGTGTTGGTTCTTTGTAGTGGTGTGCATTCGATTTATCGATTCGATTTTGACCCTTATCGATAATTACTTATCGATTATCGATTTGTACATATGCTTATCGTTATCGTTTCAATAAGGTTTCGATTTTTTCGATTTCGATTTATCGATTTTGGGGCTTATCGATTCGGTTATCGATTACACCAATAAGAAAATTTGCGGGATTCCACAGAAAGTATATCACTATAAACACGCCTAACTAATATGGACCAAAAGAAGCTAAAATAAGACGAACACCGTTTATAACATAAAAATTGTGTCAACAAGCACATGCAACGAAACTAAAGTAAGGGATCAAATGTATGCCACCAACACTCCAACGGTATAAAAAAAAATGCATCATCACGGCTAATTCTATTTTCCATTAATTTGAACTTCATCCTTGAGCTTTAAATATGATCATTCCTTAAATGTGGTAGATGAAATAATAGGGTTAGGGACTTAGGGTAAAGAAAGAGTATTATAGAATAAGGGAAAAAAAATTTAAAAAAAAAACCTAAAAACAAAAATTTAAAAAAATTAATTTTTTTTTTAGTATTTCTTATCGGTTTATCGATAAACCGATAAACCGAAGAGAACAAAATCGAAATCGAAATCGATAAATCGATAAACCGATAACAAATAATCAATTCGATTTATCGATAAACCGATTCGAATGTACACCCCTAGCTCTTTGAGTCCAAAAAAATCACATTTTGGTTCCAGAGAATGTTGTGTTTCCGGGAACATCCAGAGAGAATGATTTGACCAATTGCCGTTTGCTACACGAACATGTGAACAAACATGAATGACAGAATATGATTTTCATATTTAATAAATATTTGCAAACAATACTATAAGATTTCTCTTGAATAACACATGCAAATTCTGTTAATCCGGTAAGACTTACAAATAATTGAACACTCATACAAGTTGTGCTAACCCAACAAGTGATGGACTTGTGTGTTGAAAAGGAAATAAAGGGACTGGTCTGCCAATTATCACAAGGGTTGCCATTAAAAGACATGTCACAATCTGGTCCCTCTGGTCTTTAAAATGACAATAGGACCTAAAAATGACTAATCTTACCTACTTCCATTATTTCCCTCAATTAGATTACCTCTATAATAATAGTAAGAATTATTTATGGGTGCTTAAGGGAAAGAAAGACAGGCAAAAAGTAAAAGAAAAACGTGGAGATATCCAGGGGTGTTCATAAAAACCCAAAAAATCGAACCAAATCGAAAACCAAATCAGACCGATCAAAAAAATTGATACTTTTGGTTTGGTTTTGAGTTTTAAAAATCGATCAAATTTGGTTTGGTTTTGGTTTTAATAAAAAAATAACCGAAAAAAATCGAACCAAACCGACTATAGGGATAGCTATTTCAAATTTATTATTACACCTATATTTATGTATATTTTTATACAAAGTTTCAAAAAATTTATGGTGAATGTTAATCGTATGCACTTTTAGTACATTTCTTTACCTTTATATTCTAGTTTGATTGGTAGTTTTCTTTTGTTAAGTGTAAGAATCCATTTCATGTTAAAAAAAATATATTTTTAATTGAATCCTTAAATTATTCATGACTATTTGATTCAATTATCATCAATATATTTTAGTAAATAATAGATTTCTCAAAGGGCAATTGATTTGATAGTGTTACGTTTAAAATGTGGTCTCCAGAATATGTGTTTGGTAGTGTATGTCTTATATTTAAGAAAAAACCGATAAATAACCGAAAAAACCGAAAAAACCGACGTAAACCGAATCGAGAAAAAACTGACCTAATTGGTTTGGTTTGGTTCTAATATTTGAAAAACCGACTTACTTGGTTTGGTTTATTTTTAAGAAAACATCGATCCAAACCGAACCATGAACACCCCAGAGATATCAATGTTTAACGCCATTCTCTCTTCTGTCCTAGCTAGGAACCACATATGTCCTCCTTCACGGGAACGAATATCGCACATGTACCACCGAGGTACAAAAATGGATGAGATTTTTTTTTACTCTTAATTAAAGATCTTCTTTATTATTCTTAAAATAAAAAAAAGTTCAGGTAAGAAGTGCTTTTCCCTCAGTAAATTTCAGATATTAAATAATTAAATGATAACAAAAAAAATATCATACATGTAATTTTCTACCAGCTATAATGTATGGTTAGTGGGTGCGTGCAAATAATTGACCTGCAAGAGCCATTCATAGCCAAGATTTTTTTAGTTTAAATTTATGTACGAATAAAATATTTATATAACTTATAAGATAATTATAAATAAATATTTATTATAATTAATAACTTGTATAAATAGTAGTAGTAATTAATTAGTTATAATAAATTAAACAACACTGATAGTGTAAAAGTTTTTACGCTATTAATCCCTAAGTTCATCTTTTTCATGTAAAGAGACTTTAATATTTAATTAGTGTTTGCAAATAATTTGAAGATTATTTTAGTCAGTTTAATGAAAATATCTTAGCAAATAATTGGAAGTATAGTTTGCTTTGACAAGATTTTCCTTTTGGTATGGTGTAGCAACAGTACGGTAAAGACAGTGAGTTGGGTTTTTCTCTTTGGAGATTTTTAAAGATCAAAACTTTTGGGGTGTCAAAAATTTGATGGTTTCTTTAGCTTCGTCTCAAACTCTTGAAATTTGTAAAGATGTAGCTGGAATCGCCGGTACACCTCATTTTCTCTCTGAATTACTGCCTCTCGATCTTTTCATAAAGATTTGGTGTTTTTGCAAACTTTTTCTTGCAATTTTCCCTGTTTGGATAGCTAGATGAGTCGAAGATAATTCTGAAATCTTCATTGAAAAACTCGTTTGACAAAATGATGTTACTTTCTGGAAGATAAATTAAGATAGCAAAAGTGAACACCTTTAATTTGCTAATAGAATTGGTGAAGGTGTTAAGTGTTTGCTTCGTTTTATAGTCCAAACTGGAAATTGTAGTTTAAAATATTTCAAAGGCGTTGATCATCAATCTGCTGGTGTCTAGTGACAAGAGTAACGTATGCTGTTAGTTTACATTACAGTCATACATTATCGATATTGTTTTGCTCTAAACCTCTGAATCTTTCCCATAATCCAAGGTTAAGCCAGTAAATTTTAGCCCGATTTGCTCCAGCTTTCGCTTAAGTACTTTTTCTATTACTTCTTTCAAAAAGTGTAAGAAAAAAATGTGTGTGTGTATTATATACCTATACCTTATTCAATAAGTGATTGGTACAATAAAGAAGTTATTTTTATGTTGTAATTTACAGAACTAAACTCTGATGAAAATATTATACATAAGTTTGATAGTGAGCAAACAGTGTTGTTCTGTAATGGTGTCTAACTTTTAGGCCTAAAGCAATCTTAGAAGCTCTATTTGAGCTAAAACTTTTTTTAGATTAAACGCTTGATGAAGTGGTTTTCATGAACGCATTGGAGTTCTATGCAATCCCTTAAAAATGAAATAGATTGTAAAGGAACAATGAGATATACCCTTTATTTCCTTAGCTCACTCGTCCGTTGCAAAGGTTTCCCTTTTTTCGCTAAAGGAGGTTAGCAAAGTTATTCTTGAGCTTTATAGTGACTGGGGAGAAAGGATTACTAATCTTGGCTGCTTTTTTCAGGGAATATATTTGCTTTTGGATTGTTTCTGTCTCCAATGTGAGTTTTAAGCTTTGCATCCTTCGATTTGCTTTAAGACACTTCTACAATGTAGAAAACAACGTTTACCACGTAGCCAATTATTCTTTTATCTTTATTTTCAGACCTACATTCAGGAGAGTAATCAGAAATCAATCAACCGAACAGTTCTCGGGGTTGCCATACTATAGTAACGTATATGGGCTATTGAACTACTTGATCTGTGCCTGGTATGGCACGCCTCTCATATCTCCTGACAATTTGTTGGTTACAACCGTCAATTCAGTTGGTGCTGTTTTTCAACTTGCCTATATTGTACTTTTTGTGATGTCTATAGAGAAAGAGAAAAAGGTTAAGAATCCTCTTTTGTATTTTGATTTAAAGCAGTTTTCAAGATTTTCAGATGTTGCACTTGTTTATATCTTAACATTTTAATTTATATGCCCATTGATGTTGTTTGTAGTTCAGGATGCTGGGATGGATACTCACAGTCTTTGGCCTATTCTCAATTATTGTAATTGGAAGCTTGCTTATAGTTGACCTTCAACTCCGACGCATCATCATGGGCTCCCTGAGTTGTGCTTCCCTCATATCAATGTTTGCTTCCCCACTCTTTATTATTGTATGTATTATCGTTGACATTCAGATTCTCTATGAATATTAATATCAAGTTCTTATTCTCTTATGTGTTTTTCCACTGATTCATTGACTAACTCGTCTTCCAGAATCTGGTGATCAGGACCAGGAGCGTCGAATTCATGCCGTTTTACCTATCCCTCTCTACCTTCCTAATGAGTGCCTCTTTCTTTTTGTATGGAACTTTCAGTTTCGATCCTTTTATATATGTGAGTTTCTTTCTCCTCACTTACATTATAGAAGGAGGGCAAAAAGGAAAGCGGCCCTGGGCGTGATAGGCTCTTTTATTTATACAGAAGTACAAACATTTTACCTTCTTTTGTCTCGCCTGTCTCATGCATGATTTCTACTTGGATTTCAGGTACCAAATGGCATAGGAACAGTTTTAGGAGTTGTACAATTGCTTTTATTTGCATATTACAGAAATTCTTCAAGAGGAGACTTTACTGAAGGCTTTATAGTGTCTTATTAGTGAACTTCTCAGAAAAAAATTAAAAAGAAAATAGTGTCTTATCCGTGAAACAACACCTTTGGGGGAAAGGTAAATGCTCGATCACTTAAGCATCTGTTCATCCAAAGAATCGAATACTAATAATCTCTAAATGTGCATTCTGTTAAATAAGGAGTATAGTTTCTGATTTGTATGTTTCCCTTTATTCTGTCCTAGGTGAGAATAAGCGCGCACTAGGTCGCGTGGAGAATGATGAGAATGCCAAGCTCAAGGTGATGGCAGTTTCCTAGTCATTGAACGCCTTAAACTATACCTGGTTCCTAAATAGTACAGTATCTGTTTTCTGCATATATTCTGCAAAGTTGAAATAGGAGAACTTTGTGGATCTGCAATGCATGTTTTTATATTGTTCCTGTTTTCCTTTTTTAAACTCATTCTTCTGATATGGATGGAATGAAAACTTAGAATTACTTCAGAAACAATGTAATTGAACGTAGCACATATAATTGTGATTAAATTTGCACATTTCTTGTTCTACACTAGAAATAACGCTAAAGAACTATGACTTTTTTCACCAAAGTCATATAACTATGTTTTCTTACACAAAAATCATAAAGCTTCTACTAACTCACACAAAAATTATAATGACCGAAAAATACAACTTTTCAGTAGTATTTTCTTATTCCGTGGTTTTTGATTTTTTATTTTCAATCTAATAAATAAAAATTCAATTAAAATAGGAATGACTCAACCCGACTTAACCCACCCGACCCAATAACCATATATATTGTAAGGACCCGACCAGTCGTTTTGCTTTTTAGATTCTCGTTCCCCTATTTAACACTTCTCGTATGTGTTTTTACTATTTTATGACTTGTGGGGATGGTTGGTTTGGTTTTGGAAGGGTTCCGGTTGAATTTGGAACACTTAGTTCCTTAAGAGTGGCCTAAGGGGATCAAGTTTGACTTGAGTCAATATTTTGAGTAAATGACCTCGGAATCGGGATTTGATGGTTCCAATAGGTTCGTACGACGATTTGGACTTGGGCGTGTGTTCGGATCGAGTTTCGGGTGATCTGGGACCGTTTCAGATCTTAATGTTGGAAGTTGGCGCCTTGAAGGTTTAGAGTTTCTTAAATTTGGGTTGAAGTAGACTTTGGTCTTATCGATGTCCGTTTGAGATTCCGAGCCTGGGAATAGGTTCATATGGTGATTTGTGACTTGTGCGTAAAATTTGGCGTCATTCCGAGCTGTCTAAGTATGATTCGTCGCGCTCGGAGCTAGTTTAAGAAGTTTGAAGTTCATAAGTTGATTAACTTTGTTTTAGGGTGTGATTATTAGTTTTGATGTTGTTTTATGTATTTCAAGGCTTCGAGCAGGTCCGTATCATATTTATGAATTTGTTGGTACAGTTGGACGGGGTCCCGGGTGGCTCGGGTGAGTTTCGGACCACCCAGAGTTAAGTCCAAATTGTAGAAAATGCCGATTCTGGTTTCCTTCTTAGCAAACGCGGAGATGGTATCGCATTCGCAATGATGGAATTGGGGACCGAATCATTTTATACTTCGCGTTCGCGAAGATTGGGTCGCTTTCACGATGGCTTAGGACCAATGGCCTTTGCGTTCGCGATGGCAGTCCCGCCGTTCGCATAGAAGGGACTGGGTCTGGGGTTAGTTGGTCTTTGCCTTCGCGTTCGCGAAGGGTGGAACACCTTCACGAAGATAAGGTTGGGCTAGCCTTTGCGATCGCGAAGACAAGGTCGCGTTCGCAAAGAGCCTTTTCTGGGCGTGACAGATTTTTGCCTTCGTGATCGCGAAGAAGGAATGTCTGGGTAGTGACTTAATTTAAAAAGGGACATAGGCCATTTTCTTCATTTCTCACATCTCTTCGCCGATTTTGGAGCTCTTGGAGAGGGATTTTTCACCTAGCATCTTGAAGTAAGTAATTTCTACATAATGTGAGTTTAATACATAGATTATGGATAGATTTTAACATAGAAATTGTAGAAATTTTGGGATTTTGTTGAAAAATCTAGGATTTGGTGAAAAGGGGATTAGACCACGAAGTTGATTACGGAATTGAGTAGATTTTATATATTTGAGTTCGTAAGGTCATGGGTTACATTTATCTACGAAAATTTTCGGAATCCGGGGACGTGAATTTTCCAACTTGGGTTGAGTGATTACTTTAATAGTTATATTATGAACTTTTGAGCATATGTTGATTAGTTTGTACGACTTTTGGCTAGTTTCGGGTTGCTCGATGTTATTTTGAGGCTATTAGTGTAGTTTAAGGGCCGAGAAGAGGACTTGCAAGCGAGATAAGTTTCTTGCCTAACATTGTAAGAGGGAATTAATCTCGTAGGTATTTATATTGTTATTTGTTAATAATTGTGAGTGTTACGTACGCACGAAGTGACGAGAGTATGTACGTAACTAAAAATCATGTTTATGTCCGGGTAGACTTAGGACATTATCACGCAATACTTGTATTATTATTGATGATAGAAAATTATGCTCCTTTATGTGCCTAACATGGTGTTGTCAACGTATGTCCCGACGTCCGAAGAGTTTCCTTATTCTTGTGGATCGAGCTGGACGCCTCGACAATATATATATATACATACGATGAGATGCATCCGTGGATCGGGCCGTACGACCTCGGTAGTGTATGTAGGCGATTATTATGGATATGGCCGTACGACCTCGGCATAACTCGTGCGCGTGATTTCGCTAGGAATCCAGTTATACTTGATATTTCCTCCCTGACTTGAGAATTTAAAATTACTTGATGACTCTTATTTGTTGAAATTTGCATGTGATAATTGGAGATTTTAAATTGATATATAGTTAAAGAATTACTTATTTATTGTTCCTTATTTCATTGTTATTGTTGTACTCCATACCTATTTATAATTCTTGCAATTTATTTATTGATCACTAGTAAGTATCGATGTCGACCCCTCGTCAGTACTTCTTCGAGGTTAGACTAGATACTTACTGAGTATAAGTGATTTACGTACTCATGCTACACTTCTGCATAAATTGTGTAGGTATTGAGGCATGTACATCTGGTATCCTTTCGGTTGCTCATCCACATTATCCCGAGTCCTAGTGGTGAGCTGTTTCCCATGCTCCGTTCTGCAGCACCCGGAGTCTCCTCTTTGTTGTATTTACTATTTTTGTCTATTTTATTTCAGACAATAGTATAGGGGTTTTGTATATTCTACTTGATTGCCCGTGCACTTGTAACATCGGATTTTGGGAATCACTAGTAGATGTTACTTTGTTACTATTTCATTTTCATGTCTTATGAGTTATATCACCATAATAATCTTTTATACTTAGTTTCCTTATAAATTAAAAATTCATGTGTTTAAAGGTAATAAAATGAGTAATTTATTTGATAGTTCACCGACGGTTATGTTGGGCGTCATCACGGCCTATAGTAGGTCTGGGAAATTTCCCACTAGAACAGAATATTTGTGATTTGTAGAAAATAAGTAAAAGAGAAAGAGATGAAAATCTGATGTTGCATTTCATTTTGGAGATAATATGGGTATTTATAATACCTCTAGAAGTCTATTGGAACTAAAAGGCTCATTTCTTCATAACAGACACCTTTTAAAACCACTAGTCACCTATTTTGAATTCAAAAATTTTTTTGTTAAAAAACGTTTTTCTGAAATTAATTTAAAAACATATTTAATTAATTAATAAAATATAGGTGACTAAAATAATAATTTCGGGATATTTAATTGGCTCGGGTGCCCAAGTGCCCAATCTTGTCTTTAATAATATAGTCAAATTTTAATTTCTCTCCAAAACATCCTTTAAAATATTCATACTATATAAGACAAAGCAGTGCTTTTAAACACTTTTTGTTATAAAATCTTTAGTAAATGTGGATGTCCACTACTCCCACTACTTTCACCCATAATGTAAATAACCTCCAACTACTCATCACTATTATGATTGTAACTCCCACAACCTCCATAACCCCTCCCCATGATCTTCCCCCATGATCTCAATTGTTACTGTCATGTTTAAGACAATCATTTTGTAACCTTCTGTGTAATAGTATAAATAGAGGCATGAAATGTGATATGGGATACACTTAAACACTTGATGAAATAAGAAAGTTATCTCTTCTTCTCTTATTTTACTTATCTACTTGTTTTATATTGTTACTTTGAACTACATTTCTTAGCACGTTATCAACACGAAGTTGAGCTCTTTCGTTGTTCAGGTATATTTGTTCATTTTGTTTTCTTCATTGTATATTTTTGATTCCATGATTAGTATCTTTAACATGCAGTTTTATAATTTCTCACATCTCTAGATATGTGTAAAAATAAAGAATTCTATTGTCACGACCCGGATTTTCCACCCTCGGAAGTCGTGATGGTGCCTACTCGTGAAAGCTAGGCAAACCAACTATTAAGGTTTTAATCCATTAGCAATCAACCCAAACAGATATAAACAATAACTAAAGCGAAACAGATGAAAAGTGCGGAAGAGTTATAACAAATTCAAATAATCCAATACATGTTACCCACCAATCTGATGTCAAAAATTCATGAACATCTACGAATTTCTACAAACACTTGTCTAGAAAGAAAAGTACAACTATTCTCGGAATGAAAAGACACAACAGAAAGCTAAAATAGGGAAGGGGGACTTTAGGCTCTGCGGACGCCAGCAGATCTACATTGGTCTCCCTAGACTGAAGGCAGCTACCTCAGCTACTCACCGGGTCCCACACCAAAATCTGCACAAAAGAGTGCAAAGTGTAGCATCAGTACAACCGACCCCATGTACTGAGTAAGTGTCGAGCCTAACCTCGGCGGAGTAGTGACGAGGCTAGGACACGACAACCATATAAACTTGTGCAGTTAAATCATATACAAACAGAATCATAATAACAGGAATCAACAGAATAAGGTGGGAAGGGGACATGCTGCGGGGAATATCAGATTCTAACAATAAACCAATAAAGAAGCATCAATAAAGAACCATAATGAACATCAAATCTATATCAACAAGAATAATGAAATGGTAACACGTGCACGACATCACCCTTCGTGCTTTTACTCTCGTCCTCACCATATGAAACAATAGAAACGGCACGACATCACCCTTCGTGCATTACCTCTCATAATCATGGCACGGCATCACCCTTCGTGCATTACACTCACTCACAATATTATGCACGGCATCACCCTTCGTGCTTTACACTCTTCCTCACCCAAACAATAGAAACAATACGTCCCGACAAGGGAATCAACAATATCAATAATAACATCCCGGCAAGGGAATCATCTATAACCAATCTCGTTTTCAACAATTACTTTACAAAATGAAACTCAACTTGAGTCAATACTCAACAATAGTCAATTACCAAGAAACTTTCATAAGCTTTGTTCAACATTGTTAATCATCAATTTAAGAATGAATGATACATAATAGAGCCACAACAATCATGATATAAGACTCACGGGCATGCTTGACACCAACGTATAGATACTCGACACCACACCTATACGTCGTACTCATACTAAAACATAGCAAATAAGACCACAACTCCTATTCCCTTAAGCTAAGGTTAGGCCAAACACTTAAGATTTAGCCTCAATTACCGCTTTACCTCTCGGTTCCACTTCCAATTCGCGTGTATCTAATCATAATTTACTTAGTAACATCAATAAATGCTAAATAAACACAATTCTAATGCATGAAAATAGATTTCCCATTGTTTTTCCCAAAAAGTAAAAAATCGACCAGGGCCCGCTTGGTCAAAACCCGAAGTTCGAACCAAAACCCGATCACACATTCACCCACGAACTCCAATATGCAATTAGTTTTGAAATCGAACCTCAAATTGAGGTCCAAATCCCCAAAATTTGAAAATCCTTACTCCTACCCAAAAACACCCAATTTTCCATGAAAACCCTAGATTTTGAAGTGAAATTATGTAAAAAGATGGATTAGATTGAAGAAGATGAATTAGAAATTACTTACTTATGATTTGGAGAAGTTTGAGCCTTTAAAAAATCGCCTAAGGATGTTTAGGGTTTGAGAAAGTTGTGAAATGGTGAAAAATCCAGTCTGAAATCCCACTTAACAGGTGCAGTTATCGCAATTGCGAACCTTTTGAAATCTGCTACCTTCGCATTTGCGAAGAATATGTCACATTTGCGACAGAGGGCCCTTCGCAATTCCCAGCCCAGACTTTGCATTTGCGATGAAGGCCTGCCCGGGCTTGGTTCACAATTGCGACACTTTGGTCGCATTTCCCAAGCCTGACCATTTCGCATTTGCGAAGCTTGATCTAGCAATTGCGAGATCAGAGGATTGTGCAAAAATACCAGATGCACAGCTGCATTTTCCTAAGTCCAAATCACCCAGCCTATCCAAAACTCACCCGAGCCCTCGGGGCTCCAAACCAAACATGCACGCAAGCCTAAAAATATCATACGGACTTGCTCGTGCGATCAAATCATCAAAATAACATCAACAACTATGAATTTAACCTCAAATTCATGAAATTCTTGAAGAACATTGAAATTTTTATTTTCTCAACTAAAGGTCCGATTTATACCAAATCAACTCCGATTCTTACCAAATTTCACAGGTTCGACTTAAGTATTATTTTAAACCTGTACCGGGCTCTAGAACCAAAAATATGTGCCTAATACCATCAAGAACACGCATCATTTCATTTCAAAGAGTCTTTATATTTTTCAGCAAACAATTTTCTTTAAAAATTCTTTTCTCGGGCTAGGGACCTCGGAATTCGATTTCGCCCGAGTCCCATATTTTACTACGGACCCTACAGGACCGTCGAAACACTGGTCTGAGTCCGTTTACCCAAAATGTTGAGCGAAGTCAACTTAATTCCATTTTAAAGGCAGAACTTAATATTTTTCTCAAATTTTCACATAAGGGCTTTCCGGCTACACGCCCGAACTGCGCGCGCAAATCGAGGTAGAACAAAAGGAGGTTTTAAGGCCTCAGAACACAGATTTGACTTCTAAAACACGATATGACCTTTTGGGTCATCACATCTATGTTTCTTTATTTTAAGTTATTTGTATGATTGTCATGTGAAAGTTGCTAATTTTCATGTTAATAGAATTGATTGAGAGAAGAATACTTATTTTATGTTGTTCGACATTTAAAATTGTGTTAAAGTTAGAAGACATTTTTGTTCTAGTTAACATCAAAGATATACCAATAATTTGAAGAAACAAATAGTATTCTTTTCTATGGAATTATCACTTTAGTGTATATAGATCACAAATTTGATATTATGTCAATTTTTAAGATTCTTTACGCTATTATCCTAATGATTTCTAATTATTTATCATCTTTGATAGTTTTTACTATGTCGAATTTGTCAAATCTTGAGTTTGTGGCACTTGACATTTCTGGAAAGAATTACCTATCATGGGTTCTCGATGCTGAGATTCACTTAGCCGCTAAAGCCCTTAGTAATACCATTACTCAGGGTAATGAGGCATCAAGCCAAGACACAGCGAAGGCCATGATTTTCCTTCGTCATCATTTGGATGAAGGTTTGAAGGTTGAATATTTGACAGTGAAAGATCCACTTGAACTGTGGACTGGCCTGAAGGAAAGGTATGATCACCTTAAGGCTACGGTATTGCCAAGGGCTCAATATGAGTGGATGTACCTACAGTTGCAAGATTTTACGACCGTAAGTGAGTATAACTCTATCGTATTTCGAATAACTTCCCAATTGAAATTGTGTGGGGATGTTATGAATGATGAGGATTTGTTGTAAAAGACTCTTACGATTTTTCATGCCTCAAATATGGTATTACAGCAGCAATACCGTGAAAGGGGTTTTAAAAAGTATTCTGAATTGATCTCATGTCTTTTGGTGGCTGAGCAACATAATACCCTTTTGCTGAAAAATCATGAAGCTCGTCCCACAGGGTCAGCTCCACTTCCTAAAGCGAATATGGAAGCTAGACGTGATAAGTCTGGAAAAAGATAGAATAATAATCATGGCCGTATGAATGTACGTGGGCATGTCAATGGTAAGAGACGATATAATAGTCGTCATCGTGGTGGTCATGGCAAACGAGAGAACAATATGGGTTCTCAAAAAATCCTTCAAGAGCCAAAAGCGGTAACTGCGACCGCAAAGGTCATTGGAAAATTGAATGCCGTGGACCTGAGCATTTTGTCAGGCTTTATCAAAACTCCATCAAAAGAAAGGCAAATAATATTGGAACATCTTTTGCTAATGCCCCAGCGGAGTCTCACTTGACCTTTAAAAATGATTTTGAGGCAGGGCCTTCAAACAAAAATGATGACAATGCCAAGGCAAATCTTGCTTTGAATGATGATGATTTTGAAGGCCTCGATGATCTTACTCATTTGGAAGTTGAATACTTCTTTGGAGATCAAAACTAAAGTTTGATCATTTTACTAGGGAATGCAATTATGTTGTTATTTTTATTTTCAGTATTTTTTTTTTGTCTCGTTCTAAAGTTTTTATTTTCAAGTAGTACTTGAGTTGTCTTATGTTGTTGTTGGTGTTGTTAGTTTTTCCGTATTTCTCATGATGTACTTTTTTTTTTTATGAAGAAAATAAAATTCCCCAGTCTTCAATTGGATCCAAGATGAGTAATGAAGATTTATGCCTTTTGGATAGTGCTACAACTCACACAATATTAAGAGAAAAGAAATTTTTCTCTTATTTGGTTATGAAAAAGGCCTATGTTAATATAATATCTGGTAGTACAAAGTTAATTGAGGGCTCTGGAAGAGCGACCTTATTACTACCTGGAAGAACGATATTAACTATTGATAATGCATCGTATTGTAGTAAGTCTCAAAGAAACTTCTTGAATTTCAAAGTTATTTGCCAAAATGGCTACCATGTTGAGACATCAAACGAAGGAAATGTTGATTACCTTTATATTACTACAATAAAAACGGGGAAAAAATATGTGCACGAAAAATTACCCGCATTTTTTTATGGGTTGTACCACACAAACATTGGTGTGGTTGAATCACATGCCATAGTAAATAAAGGGTTTACTACTTCTAATGATTTTATCATTTGGCATGACCGGTTGGGCCATCCCGGTTCTAACATGATGCGCAAAATAATGGAGAATTCAAATGGGCACACATTGAAGAACAAGAAGATTCTTCAATTTAAAAAATTCTCTAGTGCTGCTTATTCTCAAGGAAAATTGGTTATTAAACCATCAGCAACTAAAGTTGGGATTGAATTCCCAGCATTTCTGGAACGTATACAGGGTGATATATGTGGGCCTATACAGCCTCCATGTGGACCATTCAAGTATTTTATGGTCTTGATAGACACATCTACAAGATGGTACATGTGTGCTTATTGTCAACTCGTAATATGGCATTTGCGAGGTTGTTGGCCCAAATAATGAGGTTAAGAGGACAATTTCCAGATTATGCAATTAAGACAATTCGTCTTGATAATGCCGGTGAATTTACATCTCAGGCCTTTATTGATTATTGTATGACCACTGGAATAAAAGTTGAGCATCGGGTTGCTCATGTTCATACTCAAAATGATCTAGCAGAATCATTGATTAAACGCCTCCAATTAAAATCTAGACCACTACTAATAAGGACAAATCTTCCCCTTTCAGTGTGGGGACATGCTATTTTGCATGAAGCAGCACTTTTGCGCATAAGGCCAACCAGCTATCCTAAAGTCTCCCCATTATAGTTGGCTTTTGGTCAGAAGCCAAATATTTCCCATCTAAGAATTTTTGAATGTGCGGTATATGTCAATTGCTCCATCACAACGTACAAAGATGGGTCCCCAAATAAGGTTGGGAGTATATGTTAGTTATGAATCTTCTTCTATTATTAAATATTTGGAGCCTTTGACAGGAGATTTGTTTACAACCAGATTTGTTGATTGTCATTTTGATGAATCGATTTTTCCAACATTAGGGGGAGAAAATAAACAGCTGGAAAAAGAGATAGATTTGAACGTATTATCTCTATCTCATTTGGATCCTCGTACAAATCAATGTGAACAAGAAGTTCAAAAGATCATTTATATGCAAAATATTGCAAATCAATTGCCAGATGCATTTACTAACCTTCCACGGGTTACTAAGTCGCATATTCCAGTTGTAAATGCTCCAATTCGAGTTGCTATCCCAGCTGGACAATATGATAGTGCAAATGAGTCTAGGACACGCCTTAAACGTGGTAGACCAATCGGTTCCAAGGATAAGAATCCCCAAAAAAGGAAAGGAGCAAATGATCAAGTTGATCATAACATGGAGGCAATTGCTCAAGAGGAGCATAAAGACATAATAATTGATAAGACCTCACAGGAGGTTCTAGTACATGAAAATGATGAAAATGATGAAAATGAAGAGATCTCAATAAGTTATGTCTCTACGGGAAAAAAGTGGAACCAGAATAATGTTGTTGTTGACAATAAGTTTGCACGTTGCAGTTGAAGTAATGCAACAAGAAGAGGATCTTGAGCCAAAATCTGTCGATGAATGTAGACAGAGAAATGATTGGCCAAAATGGAAAAACGCAATTCAAGCGGAATTGGCTTCACTCGAAAAACGTGAAGTTTTCGGAACAATAGTCCGAACGCCTGAAGGTGTCAAGCCAGTGGGGGTACAAATGGGTTTTTGTGCGAAAACGAAATAAGAAAGGTGAAGTCGTAAGATATAAAGCACGACTTGTGGCATAAGGCTTTTCGCAAAGGCCTGGCATTGATTATATGGAGACATATTCTCCTATGGTAGATGCAATTACCTTCAGGTATCTAATAAATCTGGCAGTCCATGAAAAGCTTGATATGCGGTTGATGGATGTTGTCACAGCCTACTTATATGGCTCATTGGACAATGAATTTTTTATGAAAATCCCTGAAGGATTTAAAGTTCCTGAAGCACATAAAAGTTCAAGAGAAACTTGTTCAATAAAGCTTTAGAAATTCTTATACGGATTGAAGCAATCAGGGAGGATGTGATACAATCGCCTTAGCGAGTATTTGCTAAAGGAAGGGTACAAAAATGACCCTATTTGCCCTTGTATCTTTATTAGGAGATCTGGATCTGAATTTGTCATCATAATTGTGTATGTTGATGACTTGAATATCATTGGCACTTCTAAAGAGCTTCCAAAGGCTGTAGAATGTTTGAAGAAAGAATTTGAAATGAAAGATCTTGGTAAGACAAAATTTTGTCTTGGCCTACAAATTGAGCATGTACCAAATGGAATTTTTGTCCATCAATCAACATACACTGAAAAGGTTTTAAAGCGATTTTACATGGATAATGCACATCCATTGAATACCCCAATGGTTGTGAGATCGCTTGAAATAAATAAAGATCTATTTCGGCCTCAAGAAAATGACGAAGAGCTCGTTGGTGATGAAACTCCATATCTTAGTGCAATTGGGGCACTGATGTATCTTGCCAACAATACCCGACCAGATATTGCTTTTGCAGTAAGCTTATTAGCAAGATTCAGCTCCTCCCCAATAAGAAGATATTGGAGTGGTGTTAAGCATATATTTAGATATCTTCGGGGAACTATAGATATGGGATTGTTTTATTCTAATGAATTCAAGTCAGAATGATTGGCTATGCCGATGCAGGTTATTTGTCTGATCCTCATAAAGTCCGATCTCAAACAGGATATTTATTTACATATGGAGGTAAAGCTATATCATGGCGTTCAATGAAACAAACAATAGCTGCCACATCTTCAAATCATGATAAGATAATAGCCATTCATGAAGCTAGTCGGGAATGTGTTTGAGAACAATGATTCAACATATTCAGGAAACGTGTGGCTTACTTATGAAAAAGGATAATCCAACTACACTATATGAAGACAATGCTGCTTGCATCGCTCAACTGAAAGGAGGATACATCAAAGGAGACATAACAAAGAACATTTCACCAAAGTTCTTTTTCACGCATGATCTTCAGCAAAATGGTGAAATTAATGTTCAACAGATTCATTCATGTGAAAATTTGGTTGATCTGTTCACCAAGGCATTACCAACCTCAACATTTGAGAAGTTAAGACAAAAGATTGGAATGCGGCGTCTTCGAGAACTAAAGTGATGTTTTCATGAGGGGGAGTAAGAGCGTTGTACTCTTTTTCCCTTAGCCTAGGTTTTGTCCCACTGGGTTCTCCTGGTAAGGGTTTTAACGAGACAGCAAATAAAGCGTATTACAGATATGTGTACTCTTTTTCCTTCACTAAGATTTTTTTCCCACAGGGTTTTTTCTTAGTAAGGTTTTAACGAGGCATATTATCTATTTTTGGACATCCAAGGGGGAGTGTTATAAAATCTATAGTATATGTGGATGTCCACTACTTCCACTACTTTCACCCATGATGTAAATAACCTCCCACTACTCATCACTATTATGATTGTAACTCCCACACCTCCATAACTCTTCCCCCATGATCTCAATTGTTAATGTCATGTTTAAGACAATCATTTTGTAACCTTCTATGTAATAGTATAAATAGAGGCATGAAATGTGATATGGGATACACTTGAACACTTGATGAAATAAGGAAGTTATCTCTTCTTCTCTTATTCTACTTGTTTTATATTGTTACTTTGAGCCACATTTCTTAACACTTTTTTTTTCTTTCTTTTTCCAATAAGGGACAAAACAAACTCTTCTCAAATACTCTCGTCAAACAATCAACATACTAGTAATTCAAGTTTTAAGATGCAGTTTTTAGTACTAGTTATTATGTAATCACGTAGCAGCTGCATTGGTAAACACGAACGTAATTTAGTCAATTTTAATGCATAATAATGACATTCCACTAAGTATCTCATCATATCATGTGTATATATCCAAAGTTCATACATGTTAGCACAAAAGAAAGTTAAAACTTTTTTGAATATCCAAAATTAATCCATTGAACTCTAATACCCTTGAGGAGTTATTATAGTTAATAGTAAGGAAAGGGCCAAAACTATGATTTGGTACAAAAATACCTTTCGTCTACCTATTGAACCAAAAATATCTCACTGTTATCTTTCTAGCTCACTTATGTCCCTATGACTAAAGGTCAATGCCAAATTAAAAAAAAAATAGTTTATTTGAATTACATATGGCAAATATTTATTGGTCCAATTTTAAATAATAATCCCAATTAAATGAACTCACTCTTAACCTTTTCTTTACCCAACCCCAAAATCCGGCCCATCTACAAAAATGGCCAAACTCTTGATTGTTAAAAAAACTAACTTCTCCATCTTTTTAACTCTACCATCACCATAGCTGCTTCCACCCCCTTCCTTCCATAACAATCATACTGTTCCCACAATCATGATTCTCATGTTTTCTCTATTCCTACATATTTGAACAATAACAACAAGAATATTGTGCTAATCGAAAAGGTCCAGTTAGAAAATCTTTTTTTTCCCGATTTGATGTCCTTTTTTGGTTGTAAACTTAAGATTTTGCTTGAAGAGGAGTACCTATGCCATAAATTTTTTCTTTTCTACAATAAATTATCATTTGGCCAACAACTTATTAAGAGTTTGCAAAACTAACTAAAATTATGAAGAAAAAGCTTGACTATTCCGGAATTTAAAGCCCATGAATTCATAATGGCTTCTTTGATTATCTTATGTGAAAAAAGAAAAAGAAAAAAAGATTTACCATTATAAGTGGGTGTTTGGACATCCAAACGGGCTCTAAGTGACATTTGAATATGAAAATTAAGTTCTTTTGACGAACATGTTCAAAAAATGACAGCTCCAGTGGTAAATATAAAATGAAGAAGATGATAAAAATATGAAAAAAGGACCAAAACTACCCCTAGACTAAAATACGGTGGCAGCGTGTTTGCTATGGAGGAAGGGGGATGGTGGCAACTATGATGGTGCTAGAATTGGAAATAGAGAAGAACTTTTTTGACAATCAAGAGTTTGGCCATTTTTTAAGGCATGTCGAATTTTTAGGTTGGGTAAAAAAGTGGATTAAGAGTGGGTTTATTTAATTAGGGTCAGAAGCGGATCTAGGATTTCCGAAGGATGAGTTCACCATTACTTTTTAAAAACAAATTAAACAAAAAAGTTGGTAGAGGATTCGATCCCTGACCTTAAGGTTATTGGAAATAAGTAACCAAAACCAGTGCACCACTTCATCTCTTTTGACCATGGGTTCCATGAAATATATATATATATATATATATATATATTTATTTATTTATTTATTTATCTTTGCCAAATTATGTACATCATTTCTATACTTTAACCCGAGGACCACGAGTTCACGTGAATCATATTTTACACTGTAGATCCGCCTTTGATTGGGGTCATGATTTAAAATTATTGGACCAATAAAAAGTTGCCACGTATAATTTAAGTAAACCTTTTTATTTTATCTAGCATTGACCATTAATCATAGGGGTATAAGTGAGCCAGAAAGATAACGGTGAGGACATCTTTGGCTCAATAGGTAGACGGAGGGCATATTTGCACCAAATTAAATAGTCTGAGGACAGTTTTGATCCTTCTCCGTTAATAATATTGCTCTCGATAAGTGGCATCAGAATTGTTCGTTAAAAGGAAAAAAATGACACAAATTAAAATTTTGAGTTTTGATTTTATTTGTTTGTTTGGGTAATTTTAGCACAAAAAGAATACCCAAATAAATACTGTTGGTAAATTCATAAAAAAGTTTCAAACAAACACCACCTAGGCACCTATAAGTGTTAAAACAAATTAAAAAGATACTCAATTGAAAGAAATAAAGTTCGTTGAAAAAATAAAATAAATAAAGTTCAAAAAGGTTGCATATGAAAAGGAAATAAAGGGACTGGTTTGCCAATTATCACAAGCGTTGCTTCACAATCTGGTCCCTCTGGCCTTGAAAATGACCCAAAAATGACTAATCTTTCCCTTTATTTCATTTCCGTCAATTAAATTACCACTATAGTTGGAATGGTGCTTAAGGAAATAAAGATCAAGACAAATGACAAAAGGAAAAACGTGCAATTGTCAATGACACAAACCAATTTCTCTTCTATATCTAACTAGGAACCACAAAATGCCCTCCTTTTATGGAAATGAATATCGAACAATAAATGAAATTTTCTGCAAGCTAATTAATGTAGGCTGGTGGGTATTGGCCGAGGTCCCAGGACACAAAATGATTGAGGTATAATTTCTGAAATCATCATTTAACTTTCATTTTATTGCATTAAAGTTAATAATGTATTGTGTAATACTCCCTCCGGTCCAAAATAAGTGATTTTTTGGATGTTTTCATACAGATTAAGAAATTCACCTTTTAGCATTAATTAACAATTGAATTGACCATACTAACCTTTACTATCTCACATAAACACTCCTAATACATATTCCAACACAATTTACTCCAAGGACAATGTAGGAAAAAAATAATTAATTCATTCTTGAAATCTGGAAAAATCACTTATTTTGGACCGCAAGAAAAAGGCCAAAAAATCACTTATTTTGGACCGGAGGGAGTAATAAAATTACTCAATTTTTCTTAAGTATAACAGGGAGCCATTATATATATATATATATATA